ACCCCCCCCCCCCCCCCCCCCTGATTTGAAAGAAATGTTTAAATATTGCAACTAAATTTCTGCAAGCATCAACGTTTGAGATGTGATGCTGGACACCGACCAGCCATTGAGTGGTGGTCAAAGCTTACTTACACCCCTCAAGGGTGGAATGAGCACATCTGTTAGAGGTGTTGTGTTCACGTCAGTTTTGAAAGAAGTTGACCAAGTTCCTCACACCACTAGAGGTGGTCAAAAGCTGCTTTTCTGGTAACAATTGGCCAGAGTTTGCTCCATCTCCAGGGAAAATTTTTATACATAAAAAACCCCCAAAAAAGCCCCAACTTTAATCCAACCTCAATAATTTTAATAGCACCACAAACTTTTATCTTTCTAACCTTTGACCTAAGTTTTCACATATATCTATATAGTGAAGCATTGTGGATGTCTCTTGGCATTAGTTCAATCATGAGTTTTCACATGTAGCTATATAGTGAAGCATTGTGGATGTCTCTTAACATTATTTCAATTAGAAAAAAACCAAAACAAACACCACTGATTACTTTCAGTTATTACCTGCACTATTACAATGTCCAAAGCTCTATGGCGGTGTATTAGAGAGCAAGTCTAAACAAGAAACAGATGAACAAGAAAATGAAACACACTGTTACAGCTGTGCAATGTCACGGTTGCAGCTGTCCAATGTCACAGTTGCAACTGTCCAATGTCACGGTTGCAGCTGTCCAATGTCACGGTTGCAGCTGTCCAATGTCACTGTTGCAGCTGTCCACTGTTAGATTAGTTTCAAGTACATATATAACAAAACATCATTAGAAAAAAAAAAATCTTAAGATACAAAAATCTACCCTGAAAACAACAATCACCAGCAAATTGAACAACAGACAAACTCTTGCTAACCATCATGTGCATACATGCCAAACTATCATCCTGCATTGTAGGCATTACTCACTCATAGACAACACATCAGTCATTGGCCTGGTGTATCCAACAAAGAAAAGGTCAAGGCAGTGTCTATCACCATCAAGTATACATATTTCCATTGTGCTCTTTAGTACATGGTACAGTTTAGTACTGGGCAAATAATCAGGCAGATGTTATCCTAAATTAACAAGACAACTACAATGACTTATGAAATATTAACAGTGAATTGGAATGTCCCAAAATTGTACACTCACATAATGATGAGAGCTGAACTAATAACTGAAACCTTTGATACACACAGCACAGCGTGCTACCTAGGGTACAAACAACACAGCATGTTACCTAAGGTATAAACATCACAGTGTGCCACCATGTGCTAGATCATATTTGTTTGTCTGATATATTCTACACAGTTGCACTTAATTTCACATGTCGGCATCCACCTGGGTTGTGACCAGTCTTTGATTAGTGCTCACAGACCGGTTACATCACAGACCGGTTATGTGTAGCGTTCCTGGAACTCGTGGTGCCACTTGTTGAAGTCAATGTTGAAAACAAGCAGACAACCAGTGGCTAAACCAGCAATCAAGAACCTGTGAAGAGTGCAAAACCAACAGTCATGTTGTGGTTGACAGGGCCAGACTGTCATGGCGGCAGTAGGATTGTGATAGGCCACACAATAGATAACAGACCTGTTTACCCTCAAACTTTTAAAAATCGTACAATATCATCACAAAATCGTTCAATACATTATCTTAATAGTAAAAAAATAAACATACAGTATACACCTCAAAATTAAACATTTTATGCTAAAATCGTAATAGTAAACAGGTCTGAGCTTAGTGCGACTGTGATGGCCGTAGTAGGATTGTGATAAGCGACACAAGAGCTCAGTGCGATGAAACAAGGTTCAAGTGTTAGCAGTAGAGTGGCCCTAGTGAGGGAGTGTGTAGTCAATGGAGTAGGTGTGATTGGTAGTCAATGGAGTAGGTGTGATTGGTAGAGTCAATGGAGTAGGTGCGATTGGTAGAGTCAATGGAGTAGGTGCGATTGGTAGTCAATGGAGTAGGTGTGATTGGTAGTCAATGGAGTAGGTGTGATTGGTAGTCAATGGAGTAGGTGCGATTGGTAGAGTCAATGGAGTAGGTGCGATTGGTAGAGTCAATGGAGTAGGTGATTGGTAGTCAATGGAGTAGGTGCGATTTGTAGAGTCAATGGAGTAGGTGCGATTGGTAGAGTCAATGGAGTAGGTGTGTTTGGTAGTCAATGGAGTAGGTGCGATTGGTAGAGTCAATGGAGTAGGTGCGATTGGTAGTCAATGGAGTAGGTGTGATTGGTAGAGTAAATGGAGTAGGTGCGATTGGTATATTCAATGGGGTAGGTGTGATTGGAGCACACAGTGACAATAGAAAATGTGGATTGCTAAAATTGATATAATGTCCGTTAAATGCTGAGCAAATTTTAATAGTGAAAACAGGCGGGAGCCACTGATATAAGCTATGAACTCAAACAGCTCAATCTTAATGGACATCCTGGGATATTACCATTGCCAAATGACAACAGTGAAAATGCCATGGTTGTGGAAGAGTTTCCCTGTAACATGAATCTTCCTTGAGAAGATCATGAATGGTCATTCATAGACATTACACAGTCTAGTCAGCTGAGCTTAAATTTTCTTATTTTTTCAAATCAGTCTAAGACGGAGTGGAGAACATGACTTACCTATGATCGTGTGTCAAGGCCAGGGATCGTAGAGAACTGTCACACACTGGGTAGGCGTACAGGTGACTGAAGTCATGGGCTCGCCACACCTCTACCACGCCCGCGTTACCTCCCAGGATCATGTACTGTCCATCACGACTCAAGATCAGGGACTACAAATATAGTTTTGAAGACATCATTGGGGAATTTCAATGACTATTTATTGCAGTGCAATCATTCCTTAATCAGTTTAGCATAACAATTTCAACCCAGTACTGACACCTCACAGTCAACAAGAATCTTGACATGTTCAAGATCCCTACAAATTGCATCTTTCCTTACAAACTACAGCTCAACACAAGGAAAAATTCAACTAAAACAAGTCAAATATGGCTGTTCACAGGATGTGATGGATCCATGGGAATTGGGAATAAGGAATAAGGGAAAATTAAACTTTAAAAAATTAGTTCTAAAAAAAAAAATGTGTTTGGGAAAATTTATTGAAAAAACTGTGGATGCCTTTAAAAAAAAAAAATCAAATCAAATTTTGCTTACATTTTCAAATTGCAATGGCTGATAAGAAAAATTGACCTTAAGAAATGAATACCTGAATAAAGTCCTTGTGCTCCATGAAGTGAAGCATCTTGCCATTAATGCTGAACATACAGATATTTCCACGGTCGTACGTCAAAATGATGTAGGCTTCCCTGGAGATGGTGATCAGTCTGGGTGAGTGACAGGTGGACGGTGGTTCCAGAGAGTGCAGGAGGTCGCCCGTCAATGAGTGGACCAGACTTGGGCCATCTGTCATGTAATTATAGAACAGCTTACGTGGTCATCTATGGAATAACTTTAGGATTTGTTTTAGACAGTCATTTTCTATTATGCTGGGTGATTTATTTTTTTTTCTTATGAAAAGATGACTTTCTGTGACAAAGCCAAGTTTGTCGGCATATTTCTTTAGTCTGATAGAATGCTATGTAATAGTGTATGTGGTCTCAATTAAAAGGTTTAGCTGACAATGGATTTTTTGGACAAATAATGGTGACCGAATGCACTTTGTGTGTATAACAACAAAATGTGAGCTAAACGGAGTGTTCAGTTAACTTGAACTCACTGCAACAAGACTGAACATTGAGCTGTTGGATTTAATTCAATGTGCTGTTGTAGCAGTGAGCCAAGAAATCTCAGTTCAAGTTGTATACCGCTGAGTTGGCCAATCAGCCTTCTACTCATTTTTAACTTAATAAAAATAAACTGAATTGATCCAAGTACACTTGAATTTACTCCAGTCCTAACATCCTTTGGGTAATGCAGCCATTTACTCTTTCAGTGGTGCACTGGCCACTTAGGTGGTTGCCAGGTTGTCCATCAATCAAAGTCTTCCTTAACAGTTTTGTGCTGGTGGGCATGTGTGGGTGCACTCGCTGTCATAGTCTCATGTGGTGATGGGCATGTGTGGGTGCACTCGCTGTCATAGTCTCATGTGGTGATGGGCATGTGTGGGTGCACTCGCTGTCATAGTCTCATGTGGTGATGGGCATGTGTGGGTGCACTCACTGTCATAGTCTCATGTGGTGATGGGCATGTGTGGGTGCACTCGCTGTCATAGTCTCATTTCGTGCCGCAATCTGTCTTATCGGCCCTCTGCACACCCACAAACAAGTTCATAATTAGCCCAAATACGATGATTAAGGTGGTCGTGGTTGATATCGACGGATGAATTATCCCTATCCTCTTACCTTTCGAGCCACTGACAACCAGACCTAGTTCAGCAATGGTCGCCACACAGGTAATCTCCGACTGATGTCCAGTGAGAACCGTCCTAGGTGTGGGCATGTCTATACCTGGGTTCAACACAATGATGATCATTAGCAATGTAAACTTTATTTTTGTATATGAATACTTCTAGCAATGGCACAACTACTGAGTGGGAAGAATTTTAAAAAATTAAACGTTTTGATTTTTAAATTTTATTATTTTAATATTGGAGCAATGTACTTATTTATCAGCTTTCTGTAATTTCTATTGGAATGAAATTTTGACAGTTTCTCTAAGACAGTTCAGGCCAACCTTGTATAGCAGAAGCCCTTTTGATCAGTTATTTTATAATATCAGTGAGTAAATAATAAGACATTTTTTACCATCCCTCTTGAAAAGTTGTTTTATATTATGACTGAGTAAATAATATGACATAGTAATCCTTTAAACAATTATTTTATAATACCACTGAGTAAATAGAATGACATGGAAATTCATGTTTTGTTGAAGAGTTGATTTTACAATATCCCTGAATAAATAATAAGACATGCGACATGACAATCCTTTTGGTGGATGTGCATTACTGCTCTGTGACTTGGAACGTTTACTCCAGACACAATAATCTTCTAAGCACGGATAGCAATTATGACATTTCTGAACTTGTATCATAGACTTCTGCTTCCTGTTAACAAAGATAATCTTATAAACGCTAGATGTATCTTGAAAGCCTCACTATTGCTATCTCCCAGTACGGCCTGGGCCTTGGCGTTGAACATCCACACCATGACCGTGCAGTCCTTGGAGCCAGTGATCACGTAGCAGTCCTGGCTGATGTTACACTCGGAGCGTGCCACGCAGGTCACAACATCAAAGTGACCGAACACAACTTGAATGATGCGAGCTGGAACAAATATAACAATTCTAAACATACTTTATATTTTTCATATTTCCAATTGATGAATCACACAAATACAAGTGGTGTATCACACAAATACAAGTGGTGTATCACACAAATACAAGTGGTGTATCACACAAATACAAGTGGTGTATCACACAAATACAAGTGGTGTATCACACAAATACAAGTGGTGTATCACACAAATACAAGGGGTGTATCACACAAATACAAGTGGTGTATCACACAAATACAAGTGGTGTATCACACAAATAAAAGTGGTGTATCACACAAATACAAGTGGTGTATCACACAAATACAAGTGGTGTATCACACAAATACAAGTAGTGTATCACACAAATACAAGTGGTGTATCACACAAATACAAGTGGTGTATCACACAAATACAAGTGGTGTATCACACAAATACAAGGGGTGTATCACACAAATACAAGTGGTGTATCACACAAATACAAGTGGTGTATCACACAAATAAAAGTGGTGTATCACACAAATACAAGTGGTGTATCACACAAATACAAGTGGTGTATCACACAAATACAAGTAGTGTATCACACAAATACAAGTGGTGTATCACACAAATACAAGTGGTGTATCACACAAATACAAGTGGTGTATCACACAAATACAAGTGGTGTTTTCATGAATGGACTATGAGGGTATCAACGGGTACTCCTAGTTTATGCTACAACTTTTAAACTACTTATAAAATCCTATTTATACTTTGAAAGTATCTACATTCATAGTGTCTCTGAATTCCCAAATACTGACTACCAAACACTGACATAATGTGTAATCACATGAGACATACAGTGCCACAGGCCTAAAGCCATAGGCACACAACCACAGGCATAGAGCCAGAGACATAGACCCGCAGCCATACAGTCACAGGCACAGGCATAGAGCCAGAGACATAGACCCGCAGCCATACAGTCACAGGCACAGGCATAGAGCCAGAGACATAGACCCGCAGCCATACAGTCACAGGCACAGGCATAGAGCCAGAGACATAGACCCGCAGCCATACAGTCACAGGCACAGGCATAGAGCCAGAGACATAGACCCGCAGCCATACAGTCACAGGCACAGGCATAGAGCCAGAGACATAGACCCGCAGCCATACAGTCACAGGCATACAGCATTACAGACATAGAGCCATTGGCACACAACTAAATGCACACAGCCACACAGAGTCAAAGCCACACAGCCAGACACAAAGCCACAGAACCACAGACATACACCTAGCCACAAAAAAAGCACATATCCAAATACATACAGCCACAAACAGCCACAGACATACACCCAGACACAGACATACAGCCACAGGTATAAAGCCACAGACAATAACAAACACAGACACGACACACCCATACAGCAAGAAGTCAGACACACACCTGAGTCTAAGTGATAAATCCTGAAACTCTTGTCCCAGAAACCGCAGGCAAACAGGAAGCGGTTGTCTGCGGTAGTCACAAAGCTGTGATGGTTGACAGGCAGCCTCTGGTCAAAGTTGTCACCAAGAGTTCGTTTCTGAGGTCCAGTGTGCTGGACTGAAGGAAGGAAAAAAATAGACGAGTTTTTATGGACAGTAAGACAGCACAATTGGCTTGGAGCACACACAGAACTAAAGGAAAATTTTCTGTGACAGAAAAACTTTCAATATTTGGCCATCAGTTGGTCTCTGACAGGAATAACTAATGCTTCTTTAGGCAAGGAATAACTAATTCTTCTTTAGGCAAGGAATAACTAACCCTTCTTTAGGCAAGGAATAACTAATTCTTCTTTAGGCAAGGAATAACTAACGCTTCTTTAGGAAAAGAATAACTGATGCTTCTTTCCATAAGGAATAATTGATGCTTCTCAAGCAAGAATATCTGATGCTTCTTTAGATTGAGAAAAACAGATTTTTTAAAACTACATGAAAAATAAAAATATTGACACAAAAGGATATGTTTTTAGCATGAGCTACATTAAAATGTATTTTTAAGGCCTATAATGTAACCGCTGGACTTATTTATTTAATGGCAAACTACTTTGCTGAGACGTATTAACTGAGAATGAAAAGAAATACACAGAAAACCTTTTTTGGAATATTCTTAATACATTACACTGATATTTCTTTTAAAACCTATCTAACTTTTGGTGATTTGTTATCTTAACCTACCTAACATTTGATCCATGGCCAATGGTAGATTTGGCGGGGCTGTGGGGTCAGCTTTGTCAGATGAAAAGCTTGCAGCATTTCCTTGAGCTGAAAGATTATTGAAAGATAAAGCACTGATTTATTGAACTCACAGACCTTAAAGAAAATATCAAATGCATGGAGACAACGACAGGCCGGATTTCGAATTCATTTATATTGGATGCGACTCCAAACTACAAATATTTAATAAGTGTTTAGAAATTTAAACACCCAAATTTACATGGATGTCTGATACCACTGAAGATTTTATAGCAACAAAATGTCAGTGTGATAGAAATTTAAACACTCGAATCCAACAGATTTCATTTTCTGTGTGACTCAACATGACAGTCGAGTAAATGTGTGCAAGTTTCCTCACGTGTGTAGCCATTGTTCCACTTGTTGATGGCATAGTTGTGGTTGCAGGATATGCTGGTGACCGCCGGGATAGGCACCGCGGGGTGGGTGTTGGCCGCCACGTGGGTGACCGGTGAGTTGGACAGGAACTTCATGATCATGCAGACGTCGTCCTGGTTCTTGGAGAACATCATTGGGCTCTGTTCAATGGGAGGACAAAAGCATTCAACATCAGGAGAAATAAATTCTTCATCAGCATGTGTTGAGCTTTACAATAGTAAAAAGAAAATGTGAACAATAAAGCTAATGCTAACTGGATGTGAAGTTATTTCCTCCAGGACAAATCAATTTAAAGACCAGCGTAATGGATATAATAAAAATAAGTTTTATTTAACACAGCCATATGTTTATTTCAACTACGTTTCATGTATGCGCATACACATAAGGGTTTCATACCATTAGCAAAGAACCATAAGCCTGAAATAATAGTTTGAAAAAAAAAAAGGGCCTAATCCGATTCCCCAAAATGTCCAAGCATAAAAGACCAGGAAGACAAAAAAAATATGAATACAAATTTTTAAAAGGGAACAAAAAATATTAATGGTATACAGACTGTCAAATAAATTGTACAACTGCTCCTTTTTTAAATTCCTAAAAATTAATATTAAAAATATTTACTAACACCCCGCCCCAATATTATAATTGGGGGCATTAACTGTTGTCTAGGAAATAATTTGAATTTTTAAATATATATCACAAATTAGTTATCCATCTCTCTTAAACTGCTTCTGTATAACTTAAATTCATAATATAAACTAAATTGAATACCCAGTCCTTTGTACTGTCTAGCGATTGAGAGTCATTATATTTCAGCAGTAACTCTTTCAAAATCAAGAAGACCAAAGAGTAAAATTCTTGAAATTTTTATATCTATAGATTTTCAACAATGTAACATTTACCAATGGCCTCTCAAATGAAAGTGGAAAGCCAGGATATCAGGATTCAAACAAAATCAAATGGAATAATTTGTAGTATAAAGAATACTTGATATGCTGTACTTAAACAAATCCAGGATAACTTTGTTTTCACAAAAAAATAATTTCTTCATAAAAATTTGGTAAATGACTTGAAATTCTTATGAGTTATAAAAATCTCATAAAATTATTGAGATCTGGGTGATCTGGGTCTATTTGTTATTCTACAAGGAGTTAATTAGCTCAGTAGTGAATACATATTTGATGTGAATTAAGCTGAAATCACTGGTTAAATAGTTAATATATTAATGATGTTTTTTTTTTTAGGTATTAGTGTATCCTACATAACTTTTGATGTTCTTATGTAAGCAACTAAATTATAAGCCATGGATTCACTTCACACAAATGGATTCACTCAAGCCCAGGTCTTCAATGACAAGTTTGTAGTTTGGCTTGTTATTAAATTGGTTATACTAATGTGTGCAATGACGTCATTGTGTTAACCTAGCAGTACATAGTGAAGATAGCCACTAGCTAATATTTGTGTCACATGGTGTTGGTTAATAAAAGCATTATTATATGAACATGGTGTAGGCCTATTCTTATAGTGACTATATCCTCACTAGAAGAGCCGTCTCTCTGATTATATCATTAGATTTTTAACTTCACAAAGGACATTAAAAAAAACAACAACTTTTTTTGAGGGATTACTTTTTAATTCTATCAATGTCTGCCCCCCCCCCCCAATCCAAAATTAATAGGCTGTATTTTTTAACAAAATAAAAAGGAAGAAAAAGTAGATTAAATAATATTTTTAACTTCAAAAAGGAAAATAAAAAAAACAACAACTTTTTTTGAGGGATTACTTTTTAATTCTATTAATGTCTGCCCCCCCCCCCCCATCCCAAACTGATAGGCTGTACTTTTTAACAAAATAAAAAGGAAGTAAAAGTAGAGTAAATAATATTGCATTCTCTCAATAATTATTACAATTGTAACTGCAGAAAGGATTCATGTTTTATTATTTTAATTCAGAGTAAGATTTAAATGAAAAATTGAAATAAAAAAGCAATTCAAGGTCAATGCCATTTAAAAAAAAAAAGGAATAAATAAAATATTTTTGTCCCCAAAGTAATGAAAAATAATAAGGAAAAGAAAGATTATTAAAAAATATTATTTTGTTTCCTATTTTCCAAGCAGCAAGCAATATGGGAGGCAACTATAAGGAAATGATGCAGAACCTTATTGATGATGCTTCTACGGTCCTGATTTTTTTCTATTAGCTGGAATAAATAAACATAGAGATGATGAATGAATGGATGGAAGGAAATCAGTGCTTTGTTTAATATGGGTTAATAATGGAGGTGGAAGAGACCAAAAAAAATAAATAAAGATTTAAAATATTAGGGTCAAGGCCATGGTCTAACTTATCTTTGAATAATACACCGTCAGCTCTATCCTAAATTTGCTACTGCGGTGAGACAGTGGGGTACAGGAGAAGATTTTGTGTCTGAGAACCCTGTGTTATCACTTAAAATTAATTTTTTTTAAAATTGATCAATTATCTGGTTTTAGCAACAAACATTTTGTGCAAATAAAATTCACTGCTGGTCCATTAAATCATGGGATAAAACTCTCAAAACCACTAAACCCAATCCTGCAATCATCTCAAATTTAATCTTTGATAAAAATCAGTGGCTCCCAACCTTGCCCAGGCATCAAGAAGATACACTTAGTTTCCTGTATTCTCCTATTTCCCTCCATGCAGGCCAGATATATTTATTTGCCTACTTTGTGCTGATAGATTGTTTTTTTGGTTTTAAAGTTATTGGTTACTTTCTGTCTACACCATAAAGTGAATTCTGAAAAGGAAATTTATTTGTGTTCAATCTCATAGGAAAACCCAGTCAGCAAAGAATTTAATAATTTAAACCTCCCTCCCCCCCTCCCCCCAATCCCATCTGACAACAAAAATTCAACAGTAACATAAGGAATAAAAATAAGATCTGGTCAGAGTAACCCAGGTTGGGAAATATTGGAGGAAATCAAAAAGGAAAAAAAAAAAAGCTTAGAGATTCTACATAATAGATAATTAAATGTTTTGTTTTAATTATGGTATTTCAATTCCAGACCGTCAAAACTCTGTGAAGGTGTTAAAAAGCTAAAATCAAGTCTCAAAATAAAAATGATAAATATTTGATGAACAGAAAGGCTTATTTATATTTTTAAAAAAAAAACATCTAATAAATGAATCACCGAGTTTATAGATTCAGGGGGGAAGCACACCTGCGGGGTAAAGTTTATGGTGAGGCAATGTATTACATCATCTAAATAAGGAAATTTAAAAAAAAAACGAAGCAAAATCCCACATGGGAAACTAGGAAAATAAATGAATATTTTAATGATGACCCTGGTAACTAATAACAAGAACATAGTGAGGTAGACCTTACAAAGCTGTATCTTGTTTTGTTTTTAAAAAAATCTATGGGTCCAAACTTTTCCCGCTTTACACACTCTTTAATGATTTACCCCTCTAATTAAGCCTTTTAACGAATAAAAAGCAGAGAACCACTGGTTTTAGATTTTAAAGCAAAAGTGGCTTAATTATCCCAATCATGTCATTTCTGCTTTTCCTTTAAACCTTTTTAAATTTTACAGGTTATCTGAATCTAACTTTGTACAAATATACCATTGTGGACTAAGGAGAAAGAAATGAATGTGTATGTGGGGGGGGGGGGGAGGTGTGGGAGTGGTGGTGTTGCAGGCCATGACTGAGAACAACATAGAATTTGACTGGACAAGGTTAATAACATAAGCTTTAATTTTCCCATGTTTGCTGCAAGCAAGTGTTAAGTATTGAGCCCTGGAGACCCGAAAGATATTCACTAGGGTTTTCGAGAGTTCTTGTTAGAGCGACTTACCAGATGCATGACTGAACTTCGAGGTGGGTGGGGTTCAGTCAACAGCTGAGTGGGTGTCTGGCCAAAACTTCGGATCTGGTTCTCTATTGCCTGGAATGTTTACAGCAAAATGGGTGAGCTGGAGTAGTAACATTTAATTATATCACTGTCGTACCCAACCATTGGTACCACAAGCAGTAACCAACAATTATTTCTTGAGCCCACATTTTCAACTGGTATAAAGAAGAAGACAAGCAAGATAGCCACACAAGAAAAAAACCATATCCAACTCAGTCCCATCCAACTCTGATCCATCCAACTTTGTCCCATCCAACTCTTTCCTATCCAACTCTTTCCCATCCAGTTCTGTCCCATCCATCTTTGACCTATCCAAATCTGTCCTATCCCTGGGTTACAAAAATTCAACTCTGCTTGCTGTTCATCTTTAATCAAGAATTAAATCACAAAATACGTTTAAAGAATGCCTCACGTTGACTTTATTATGTCCTATTTGATAAAAACCTTCAAATATTTTGATGCACAGAACTTTACATCCGTTCAGTCAAGCTATTTCATTTACATCAAACAAAAAGAAAGCCCATGTTGTTAAATGCTTGAATCCCTCAGAATTCTTGCTCATGTTTACCAAGGATTAAAGATAGTCTACGGTCATTAGTGGTTAATAGAACCCAGATTAAATCTATAGTCAAATACAGCAAATAAGGGTAGCTAAAAAAAATGCGGTACCGACCTCCTTCATGACAGGGTCAGTCATTGTTTCAAGATTGACGCTGCCATCATAGGTCAGGTAGTAAAATACATTGGTGGCCCTCACTGCTTCCGGTCCTGTCAAGTGGCGAGAGATGAAGGAATGATATAAACATTCTAATTAAGATCTTTATACATTAATTTCAATTGTCATTGAATCGTCACTTTTAACTATAAAAGTAACATTTAACACAAATGTCTGGTGGGTTCATTGTGTGTGCATAAAAGACACGTGTTAAGTTTTAAAAAAAGCAAAAAAAAAACAACAAAACAAACAAACTAAAAGGGATAGTGATAGATTTTCATCAAAAAGAACAGGTGCCAACCTCTTTGTTTGTATCCAAAGATCAGGTCAATCCAGTTGTGGATCTGGCAGGAAACAAATTCAGATTCCAGAGCCTGAAACAAAAGTTTCATTTTTATAAAGACAGAAACGCCATTTAAACCAACATAAACTATTCAATGCTTCAAGAAAACTTCAAATATCAAACTCATCTTATCTTAACACAAGACATTTTTTATTTAGGTTCAAGCTCGGTGCACTCATAAACTTCATTCCAATAGCCCAGTTTTGCTTTGTCTGTTCATTTTGTCTGTTCGTTAAAAAAGAATGATTTTTCTCTAAGTCAATTGTCGCCCTTTCAAAGGCCCCAGCTTAAAAATTCCTTTGCCATTTCATAGTTGATTTTTATAAGAATAAGTGATGGAGAAATAACACATTGCAGGTCAATTGCTGATTAGGTGCTTAACGAAAAGACTTTTATCCTGAGTTAAATCAAATCGACTGTGAAACAGATTATACAAAAGAATTATTAAGGTGCATTTGTTTTTCAAGTGGGAGGTACTGTACTCACCATTTTATTGATTCTGACAAATTCCTCGGGGGTCTTGGCCCAGGGAGGTAACTCCACGTCATTCACTTCCTTCCCATCTTCCTGCTTCCCGAGACTGTACTTGTTAGTGTTGGTGAACATCTCAGGCAAACAGAAGAACTCTGGTATCAGTTCCTGAGGTGGTGCCAAGTGAATATTATAATAGAGCACACATCATCATCATAATATACAGGGCAACTTACCAGCATGGCTTACCCAGAGCCCCATTACTGCTACTGCTAGATTTTTAAGCAATCCATCAGTATTCAGGGTTGGTGTTTACAATTATTTAATTTCACACACACAACAGGTACTGTTTACAACATTAAAATGTTATAAGCTTAAGTAGGGGTTGGACAGCACAACTGTCCTGAGACATTACCTTGACATCTGAGGTGTCCCTCTGACAGTTCTTCCAGGCCTGACTAATGGATGAGAAGATTCGGTTAGGATGGTCGAACTTTCCGCCTTGTAAGTTAAGGAACATTGTGGTGAAGGGCTCCTTGGGATGTAGCAAAGACATTAAAAAATAACTTGATCTTATCAAAAACAGATACCAACTTTTTAGTTAACATAGAAGATCATACAACAGAGTTGGTCTTAATAGATTCATTTGCTTGTAATGAAATCACATTTATTTTCAAGGAAAGAATCCAGCTTATAGTTAACATGTACTGTAAGTCTGAAGGTCATAGTACAGGTGACTTCTCTACTCATTTACACATAGTACAGGTGACCTCACTATTCATTTACACATGGTAAAGAAGACATCATTACTCATTTACACATAGTACAGGTGACTTCACTACTCATTTACACATGGTACAGGTGATCTGACCATTCATTTAAACATAGTACAGGGTGACTTTACTCATTTACACAAAGTAAAAGTGAACTCAATACTCATTTACACATAGTACAGGTGACCTTACAACCAATACAGATAAAACAAATGATATACCACACGGATGAGCCAGTTGAGTGTAAAGGCAGATGTTGAATAGTGGGTGCCGTAGTGGAAAGGTGGGATCTGATCATGCTCCCAAGATGAGAACCTTTCCTCAAAGTAGGCCTTCCTCGTCTCATTCAGTGCACCAATAGGCTGGGAAGATAATCCAGGTATTTAAATGTTCATTAATTACACATTGTGGTTCTCAGATGTTGATGTTAATTCTACATAGTTAAAAAAAAAAGGTGTATATTGATTTATCAATTAATTGGAAGAAAGCCAATAATGTACACCAGTTATTTTCAACCAGGGTTCTGCAGACCCTAAGGCTTCACTGAGCGCCAGCCAGAGATTTTGCTAGTGTCCAGTAAAATTATAAAAATAATGTCTGAAATCGCCATGGACCAAGTCTGGCAGTACCTGAACTTTACAGTAACTGGTAGTTCTTTTATCCACTTAATTACTGTTTCCTTTGTCTTCCTAGCTACAGCTAGTCACGTGTCATGTGAGTGGAACGTGCGAAAAAATTAACATTGTCTATCTGAATCTTACATTTTTTTGGTCACTCAGCACAGTGACAATTACTTGGCTATGGGATTGACTCGGGCAGGTGTCTTAATTGGAATCAAACAAATCCTTGAGTCACTTTATGGGGTTCTATGGGCAATCTAAATGTTCCAAAGGGTTCCATTCCAATAAAAAGGGTGAAAGAACAATCATGTACACAAAAACATTTGCTAAATATATTAAGCAAACAATATTGCAGTTATTTTTCTCAAAGTGTTTTTGTTTTGATTTTGTAGATGTTATGTTACTGTTAATTAAAAATTGATCAAACCATCCTGAGAATATTATATCCAAGAACGACTCTCAAATTGAGTCACAATAGTTTTTATGAACAATTTTTTTCTTCACCTAAATTAGGTAGGTGATTTATTTAAAAACAAAATTTAGTTAGTGTTCTTTAATATGATGGGAGATAACAAAAAATTTGTTACCAATTTTGCCTAAAAATTTACACTGAAAAGTTACAGATTGATTGTTTAAAATTTTTTTAAATTTAAGAGCAAAAGAAAGAAAAAAAAAATGAATGGAATGTCGAATGAGCAGCCATGAAATTACAAAAAAAAAAAAAAAAAAATGATAAATGAGACCAGAAGTAATGGCTTTACCTTTGACAGGTCCCTGTATGTGTTTGCACTGCTCAAGTCCAGCTGGTCAGTGTCATAGTTGACCAAAACCCAGGGAAACACTGGGTACTGGTTCAGGTCATTGTAGGTTCGACCTGGAAGTCAAAGTCAGGTAGGTTATAGCATCTTGTGATACTGAATAGTTTTAGTTAGAGTTAGTTAGTAGCAGTCCATCATAAAACAAACGATGTTTAAGTACGTGGCTTGGGAAAAGTTGAACGATCAGAGGATAACCTAGACTGAAAATCTTTGGTGTAAAGCTGACCAGAAAACCATGCTGAATGCTCAAGTCAATGGGAAAAGCTGAACGATCAGAGGATAACCTAGACTGAAAATCTTTGGTGTAAAGCTGACCAGAAAACCATGCTGAATGCTCAAGTCAAAAATATTAGGCAACAAACATCGTACAACATTGTCATTGCAGACACCTGATCTCTAATGAACATAGATGAACACTTCTCTGATAATTATATAAATAATTGCAGATTATAAAGGATAATGTTTTAAAAATAAAAATTCATTTAAGAATGAGCAGTAATTGTAGCTAGCAGTCAATGTGGCAGCAGTAAATGTGGCTAGCAGTATTTTTGGCTACGAGTAAGTGTGGCGTGCATGTCCTAGTCAAGCAGCTGTCTTCTGAAAGCGTCTTTCAGGCAATAACATTTAAAGAAAGACAATTCATGGTGACTGAAGTGATAGTAAACTTCCCGGTTATGTCCCCTGCAATATTGCTTTATGTCATTCGGATTTTACTTTTAAAAAAAAAAAGAAGAAAAAAAAAAGGGGTTTTTCCATACGGCTTATCCCCTTCCCCTCCAATGTGGCAGAGATTGTGTCCAAATGTATCCATGGCTTGAGTTAGACGTCATCTGTTTGTAAGCCTATCACACAGAAATCTACAGTGCCATCATTTCAACTCTATGGGAATAGGTTGTAGTTTTGAAACAGATGGGTCCCACATAATATATTGGTTGAGAGGGAAGCATTCAAGGTGGTGTGAAATAGGGGAGATAACCAGAACCGCAGGGCCTGTTTCGGTGAATCCAGGGAAATCTACAAACCAATAATCTACACATCTTTCTGATAAAGTATTTTGATTTTGTGTGCAATACTACTACAAGTGTATCTGCCTTGGTGACTGCTTTGCGCTGTCTACAGTTTCAGGATAACAGATTTATAAAAAAAATATTTTTAAAAATAATAATAATAAACTAAATTAAAGGTATAAACATGTCTACAATGTCTACATACAATTCACAAATAATACATGAGTAAAAATTGGCTGATTCTTTAGCTTTATGGGTAAAACTACAAATATTGGTAAAGCTAAATCAGCTTTGAGATGACATTGCTGGAGAAGTCAATGCATGACATGTCATTGCTTGAGGTGTCAATGATTGCAGACCAAAATGACTACATAAATATGGACTTTCCTGACCAAAATGACTACATAAATATGGACTTTCCTGACCAAAATGACTACATAAATATGGACTTTCCTGACCAAAATGACTACATGAATATGGACTTTCCTGACATTGTTTTAAATAAATATTATATGGACCGCCATGTTGGTGAACATTTCAACTAATCCAGGAATCAAGGAAGACAGGTTCTGACTTCCTGACCCCCCCCCCCCCTCTATAGCTCTCGTTCAAAGAGTAGTAGACAACAAGTAAACATATTTTGGTGAGACTCTCAGAGAATGTCTGATGACAAGAACTGCCTGCTGTGATCCATCTGACAGAAGTTCTCCCAATCTTAACGATGTCACTCTTGAAACTTGTTGGGCAGTTGTGAGTTGGGATCAAGATTAGCTGTCATAAAACATCAAAAATTCTTTTTTCCACAAATATTAGAAGCTTCACTTTGTTGCTTAATAAGCAGGAAATCTTATCTCTGTTGTTTAATAAGAGGACAATCTTATCTCTGTTGTTTAATAAGAGGACAATCTTATCTCTGTTGTTTAATAAGAGGACAATCTTATCTCTGTTGTTTAATAAGAGGACAATCTTATCTCTGTTGTTTAATAAGAGGACAATCTTATCTCTGTTGTTTAATAAGAGGACAATCTTATCTCTGTTGTTTAATAAGAGGACAATCTTATCTCTGTTGTTTAATAAGAGGACAATCTTATCTCTGTTGTTTAATAAGAGGACAATCTTATCTCTGTTGTTTAATAAGAGGACAATCTTATCTCTGTTGTTTAATAAGAGGACAATCTTATCTCTGTTGTTTAATAAGAGGACAATCTTATCTCTGTTGTTTAATAAGAGGACAATCTTATCTCTGTTGTTTAATAAGAGGACAATCTTATCTCTGTTGTTTAATAAGAGGACAATCTTACCTCTGTTGTTTAATAAGAGGACAATCTTACCTCTGTTGTTTAATAAGAGGACAATCTTACCTCTGTTGTTTAATAAGAGGACAATCTTACCTCTGTTGTTTAATAAGAGGACAATCTTATCTCTGTTGTTTAATAAGAGGACAATCTTATCTCTGTTGTTTAATAAGAGGACAATCTTATCTCTGTTGTTTAATAAGAGGACAATCTTATCTCTGTTGTTTAATAAGAGGACAATCTTATCTCTGTTGTTTAATAAGAGGACAATCTTATCTCTGTTGTTTAATAAGAGGACAATCTTATCTCTGTTGTTTAATAAGAGGACAATCTTATCTCTGTTGTTTAATAAGAGGACAATCTTATCTCTGTTGTTTAATAAGAGGACATCTTGTTTTATACCAAATGGAGGAAGTACACTTTTTTTTATTTTTTTATAATTTTTTTTTATGTGACTAATATGTTAAATATGTTGTGACAGACCTTTAACAGATATGATATTCAGTTGAATGGTCATATGAATCTTAAAAACCAACCATTGCAGTGTTGATGTTGACCAAAAGCTCAGCTCCCTAATCTCTATGGTCAAGGATTACGAATAAAATATTTCAAGATTGTTATAAATGGAACTTTTAGGACATGGGTCCCACCTGACCTATGGTGTCCCCCCTGAGCTATGGTGTCCTACCTGAGCTATGGTGTCCCCCCTGAGCTATGATGTGTCCCCTGAGCTATTGTGTACGAACCTGACCTATGGTCTTCAAACTGACCTATGGTGTCCCACCTGAGCTATGGTGTCCCACCTGAGCTATGGGTGTCCCCCTTGAGCTATGGTGTCCCCTTGAGATATGGTGTCCCCCTTGAGCTATGGTGTCCCTCCTGATTTATGGTGTCCCTCCTGATTTATGGTGTCCCACCTGAGCTATGGTGTCCCCCCTGAGCTATGGTGTCCCCCTTGAGCTATGGTGTCCCCTTGAGCTATGGTGTCCCCCCTGCGCTAGTGTGGCCCCCCTGAGCTATGGTGTCCCCCCTCAGCTATGGTGTCCCACCTGAGCTTTGGTGTCCCCCTTGAGCTATGGTGTCCCACCTGAGCTAGTGTGGCCCTCCTGAGCTATGGTGTCTCACCTGAGCTATGGTCCCCCCCCTGAGCTATGGTGTCTCCCCACCAGAGCTATGGTGTCCCACCTGAGCTATGTTGTCCCACCTGAGCTATGGTGTCCCCCTTGAGCTTTGGTGTCCCACCTGAGCTAGTGTGTTCCCCGAGCTATGGTGTCCCCCTGAACTAGTGTGTACCCCTGAGCTATGTTGTCCCCCCCTGAGCTATGGTGTTCCCCCTGAGCTATGGTGTCCCCCCTGAGCTATGGTGTCCCCCCTGAGCTATGGTGTCCCCCCTGAGCTATGTTGTCCCCCCCTGAGCTATGGTGTCCCCCTGAGCTATGGTGTCCCCCCCCCCCTGAGTGATGGTGTCCAAGGACATGTAGTGATAATGAAACCATCCCATCTAAGGTTTTAAGAACACCTTTATCCGATATACAGCATGTAAGAGCATACTATGAGATCAAACACAAACCATAATGTGCAATGACACATGATGTAATCCAGCCATTACCCTTTACAGATGTGTAAGGACAGCTTTGGGATATAAGATATGTAATCACACCATTACAGCCTATGTGATTGTAAAGGACACTGTGGGGGTAAAGATCTACCAGACATGTGGCCCACCTGCTATGGTGTTGAGGTACATGATGTAATCAAAGTTCGAGATCTCCCTCTTCTGCCATTTTTGTGTCATGTTGGACAGCTTGAACAGCTGCTTTCCTGATGCCAGGGACACACGTCTGAGGAAATGATCAGGTCAGGCAAAATAAGCATACAGCCATAAGATAAACATACCTACAGAGCTAACACAATACCTATACATAGCTATCATATAAGACACTATTTTGGTTAATTTACCCAAGTAAATAATACAGATACACTAGAAAAAATAGCATGTTATGTTTGCCTTGTCAATCCCATGTTATAGTAACATTAATGACATAATAAATTCACTTGAATTGAGCCATCACTAATTTGCCATCACTTCCCGATTGACCAAATGTTATGCCAACAACTGCTTTGCCCATCTTTAGAAGGACCCAATCGTCACCAGTGAAGATATCTTTTGCCGATAATTACGGTACTTGTACAATTTGACATTATTTGTAGGTTTGTGACATTCTGTAGGTTTGTGACCTTATTTGTAGGCTGTGACCTAATTTGTAGGTTTATGGCCTTCTTTATAGGTTGTGACCTAATTTGTAGGTTTATGGCCTTATTTGTAGGTTGTGACCTAATTTGTTGATTTATGGCCTTATTTGTAGGTTCTGAACTAATTTGTAGGTTTATGGCCTTATTTGTAGGTTGTGACCTAATTTGTAGGTTTTTGACCTTATTAGTAGCTTGTGACCTAATGTGTAGGTTTGTGGCCTAATGTGTAGGTCTGTGACCTTATTTGTAGCTTGTGACCTAATTTGCAGGTTTGTGAGTGACCTTTTTTGTAGGTTGTGTAGTTTATATCTTAAGTATTTTTTGTTTCCATAAATAGGTGATATTTATTTAGAGTAAAAATAGACATAAAAAATGATAAAGAAGAGATCTTTTCAAGCTATGTTATAAAGAATCGTACAACCTCCGATCAGCTCGGTTCCTTTCCTCGTAAATGACAAGTCAATGTTCATCGTGCAACACCCTGTGTACAGCAGTCACACAATTAATGTTAGCCAACAGAAATGTCAACCCTCCATAAAGGTACGCGTGTGTCTATCAAAACAGGGCACGTCCACACTCTGATCAAACAAGTAGGAGGCAGCTCATAGCTGGTCAGGGTGATCATTATGGTATCACTTCACCACCATGTGTGCCTGCTGTGGCGGGTGAGAGGCATACATTGGCCTCTGTGTTTCAGTTCACTGTTGGTGATTGATCCAGTGGGTACTTTACGGTGGGTCCCTACAGTGGGCCCCTTCAGTGGATCCCTACAGTGGGTTCTTTACAGTGGGTACTTTACAGTGGGTCCTTACAGTGGGTCCCTTTAGTGGATCCCTACAGTGGGTTCTTTACAGTGGGTACTTTACAGTGGGTCCTTACAGTGGGTCCTTACAGTGGGTCCCAACAGTGGGTCCTTACAGTGGGTCCTTACAGTGGGTAATTTACAGTGGGTCCCAACAGTGGGTCCCTACAGTGGGTACTTAAAATATCTGGTGGGTTGTTTGGGGAGAGCGTGTTAGCAGTGTCATAGGAAGTAGAGGGGGGTTGGGAGTCCGCCCGAAGAGTTCCTTTCTTTTCTTCTTTATATGGGGAAAGGGGGGAGAAGGGGCATTTTGGGCGAAAGAAGAGTTGCTCCCCCCCCCCTCCCCCCTTTTTCTGAAATGGTGCGGGGCACCAGCCCCTAGCTACACTAATGAGTGTTAGATGCAAGTTAAAGAAGACGGCTCTAATACCTGGTATCTCAAATGTCCATTTTATCCATAGCGTTGCATGTTAATAGTTAGTGAAACCTAAACGACAATAAAAGCACCACGAATTATTTGCCAAGTTTGTTGTTAATGATAGAAAAGAAGATCTCATACAAATGATACACATAAAACCTAACTCTATTCCATTTCATTTGAATTGAAATCTCTCGCTGTCCCCTCGGATACTAGATTTCACCTAAGTGTTTATTTTTTTTATTTGTGTGTTACTCGTTGTTTATTCCCTGGAGTAGGCATCTTGCCGCGACACGTTCTTTTTTTTTCACCCCCCCCCCCCCCCGTTTCCCCCCATACCATATTTCCTTCAATTTCACAGAAACTGTGCAACATCCTAGCTCCCGGTCTTTTCCTCAAACCCCAAGAACCACCTGAGTGGACCCGCTCACTTCTCATGCTGCTTAATTAAGGCTCTGTGGTGAGCTTTTGTAAGATTAAAACCAAGTCTGCGAGTGGCTGTATTAAATACATGTACATTCATATGGGCTTCTAAACTATGTGTTTTTTAAACAAAGCGAACACAGTGTACCACCCTAATACAAAAACCTCCAAAGATCAAATGTACAGTTGAGAAATACTTAAAAAAAAACACTGTGCAATAAGCCATAATAATGTGTTTTTACATGACTTATACTGTTACTGGACAGTAGTGTAAAAACTGTCTAACGATTTATGACAAATGGACAACTATGAGGTATAGCACTGCACTTTTAAATACGCGAATTTACCGGCTTATATAAATCATGCATGGCCAATGTTTTAATGTATAATATTTCCATTTTTTTTTTACTTGTCATTGCAAATAGTTAAAAAATGTAGTCTTAATTTCCATAAATATAATTTATACATTTTTCAGAGAGAGGGTTGATTTTGGCCTGAGATACTCTGTCTTTTAACTTACCTGGTTTGATTCAATCCATACTTGATGCCCACGCCGACTCTGGGCAATGCGTTGATGACCTTCTGGACAGTCACGTGGTCGGGGAAGGAGAACATGACGGCGGCTGAGGATGGGGGAAATGTTAAAATACAAATTACTTTCATGAGCAGGCGTTCTGAAGACTAGGACTATGTGAGACGTCTGACTTCCCTTTGAGATGACCTCCCCTGTCAACTAGCATACGCCCCTGCGCCAGACGTCATATAAAGCTGCTAAGACAAGTTTAACACCCCCCCCCCGCCCCCAACATGTGAAGAAAATTAAAATCTAACAACAAAATAAAAATAAAAATATATATAAAAAAGGGGAGGGGAGCAGTCACATACATAACAAAAATGTATATACAAGAAGATTCAAAGATCGGGGGGGAGGAGACATGGACTCTTTCTACTAGACTAGCGGTGTTCTCAGCCTGTGGGCCGAGACCCCTTTAGGGGTCGAACGACCCTTTCACAGGGGTACCCGGAGACCAACGGAAAACACATATACCGGTACTCTACAGTTATTAAGTAGCAACGAAAATAATTTTGTGGTTGGGGGGTCGCCACAACAGAAGGCAATGCATTAAAGGGTCGCGGCATTAGCAAGGCTGAGAACCACTGTACTAGACACAATCACACAATCAAGGTTGTTTTTTTAAAAAGACGTGTTGGCAACGGGTAGCCATTTCCCCACACACTCACAACGCACACGTGTGCGGGAGAAGAGCAACAGGATACAACACGTCAGAAGAACAACTCTAGTTGGTTATCTAAGAAGACGGTCATTATTTTTGTTTACTTTTCACGTGTTCATTCCTTTCGGTTAAAAAATAAATACAAATAAAATACCCCCCTCCCCCACCAAAAAGTTCATCTTTGCAGATAGATAACTCCGACTGAAGGCAATTTCTAGGATAGACAGACAGCCCTGTTTATTGATACGTTACCTCAAAGCTATCTGCACGCCCATCTAGAACCCTACCTGTCCATCAACGACTACACCCGTCCTCGGATTGGGAACTTCTTCTTTTGTTTGTGACACATGACATGTCTTAGGATTCATCCACCAACGTCATTCAATGAACAGGATTTTCATCTAAGGGGTTTTGGTTTTTTTTTGCATCTCCCCCCCCCCCCCTCTTTTTTTCTCGTCTTAAAGGCGCAACAGTTTTGACAGTAGTAGCGGGCAGTGGGCAGACCTAGAGTCTAGAGACTAACCAACTGAAACTACATAATAAGACTCTTGTCGTTAGTAGACGGCAATTGGCATTGTAGGGTACTGAGGGTATTGTAGTGCATTGTAGGGTACTGAGGGTATTGTAGTGCATTGTAGGGTACTGAGGGTATTGTAGTGCATTGTAGGGTACTGAGGGAATTTTGTAGTGCATTGTAGGGTACTGAGGGTATTGTAGTGCATTGTAGGGTACAGAACCAGCGCAGTAAAGTCAATATATCTAAGGGTCGTAGTAGTAGCCATGATGTTGTGAGCTTGTCTTTTTAGTATTTAAAAGAAATAATATATTTTCGTCGTAGACTTGAACATGTACTTTATAGATGCATCTGGGAGTCTGAGGTTCTTCAAATAACAGCCCAAGAATTGAGGTAGGACAATTATCTCTATAAGATAACAATGGGGATACTCGGATAGTTTAGGATTTTGGTAGGACTATCATCTTTATAAGATAACAATGGGGATACTTGGATATAGTTTAAGTATTATGGTAGGTCTATTATCTCTAAAACAATGGGGATACTCGGATAGTTCAAGGATTATGGTAGGACTACTATCTCTCTAAGGAGGACTACTATCTCTCTAAGGTAACAATGGGGATACTCGGATAGTTCAAGGATTATGGTAGGACTACTATCTCTCTAAGGTAACAATGGGGATACTCGGATAGTTCAAGGATTATGGTAGGACTACTATCTCTCTAAGGTAACAAACGGGATACTCGGATAGTTCAAGGATTATGGTAGGACTACTATCTCTCTAAGGTACCAATGGGGATACTCGGATAGTTCAAGGATTATGGTAGGACTACTATCTCTCTAAGGTAACAATGGGGATACTCGGATAGTTCAAGGATTATGGTAGGACTACTATCTCTCTAAGGTAACAATGGGGATACTCGGATAGTTCAAGGATTATGGTAGGACTACTATCTCTCTAAGGTACCAATGGGGATACTCGGATAGTTCAAGGATTATGGTAGGACTACTATCTCTCTAAGGTACCAATGGGGATACTCGGATAGTTCAAGGATTATGGTAGGACTACTATCTCTCTAAGGTACCAATGGGGANTTGGAAGTGGACGATATCAACAACACAACATCAAGCCATTGGAAGTGAAGGATATGAACCACACCCCATCAAGCCATTGGGAGTGGACGATATGAACCACACCCCATCAAAACACTGGGAGTGGACGATATGAACCACACCCCATCAAACCATTGGAAGCGGAGGATATGAACCACGCCCCATCAACCTATTTGAAGTGGACGATATGAACCACCCCCCTTCCCCCCCCCCATCAAGCCACTGGGAGTGAAGGATATGAACCACAACCCATCAAACCATTCGGGGTAGAGGATATGAACCACGCCCCATCAAACTATTGGAAGTGGACGATATGAACCACACCCCATCAAGCCACTGGGAGTGAAGGATATGAACCACAACCCATCAAACATTCGGGGTAGAGGATATGAACAACGCCCCATCAAACTATTGGAAGTGGACGATATGAAACATCCCCCATCAAACCATTGGGAGTGAAAGATATGAACCGCGCCCCATCAAGCCACTGGGAGTGGGCGATATAAACCACACCCCATCAAGCAATTGGGAGTGAAGGATATGAAACACACCCCATCAAACCACTGAGAGTGGGCGATATAAACCACACCCCATCAAGCCACTGGGAGTGAAGGATATGAACCACACCCCATCAAGCCACTGGGAGTGAAGGATACGAACCACACCCCATCAAGCTACTGGGAGTGGACGATATGAACCACACCCCATCAAACTATTGAGAGCGGAGGATTTGAACCACACCTCATCAAGCCATTGGGAGTGGAGGATATGAAGAACACCCCATTAAACAATTGAGTGTGGAGGATATGAACCACGCCCCATCAAGACATTGGGAGTCGAGGATATGAACCACACCCCATTAAACCATTGGGAGTCGAGGATATGAACCACACCCCATCAAACATTTGGGGTTAGACCCCATCAAACCATTGGGAATGGAGGATATGAACCACGCCCCATCAAGACATTAGGAGTGGAGGATATGAACGACATCCCATCAATCCATTGGGAATGGAGGATATGAACCACACCCCATCAAGACATTGGGAGTGGAGGATATGAACCACACCCAATCAAAGCACTGGATACCTTATCTCGCAGATACCCCACTACTTACGGCCAGCACGTCAATAACTTATTTAAGCGGACATGTCGGGAACTTTTCCACTGTCAACGTTACCCCACGTCACCCAAGAAAACATGAGACGATTGAAAGGAACAGATTATGACAAAGAGGACGTCTGGGGCACGGGACGCCCATAGAAAATAAATAGAAGAAATCAAATGAACAAAATGAAATTTAAAAAAAAACAAAGTCCACTTGGTGCATCCAAAAATGAAATGAAAGTCTTCGGCACTCATGAGAAAATTGGATTAAATGTAGCTCTGATAAAAATCATAGAAATAATGGGCTGGGGGTGGGTGGGTGGTAAACATAGCATGACGTACTATATGGACCGCCCCATAGGGGAGTTGTTTCCCTTACTGTGTGTTTCTTATTTCCAATCCTCAATGGCTGTGCACCTCTCTGGAAAAGGAATTAATTATGGAAGGACAAGTATCTAAAAAATAAAAGTACCGGTAATATAATTGAATGATCATCAATAAGAACGAGCCCTAGCCGATCAAGGGAACAGTTGATAGATGATCTGATAGCGCTCAGTAGGAGGGGATGACGCTTTGCGCAAACAGTTTTCAGTTGGGGGGGGGGCGGAAGGGGCAGTGGTGTGTAGAAGGAACACAATTGGGTTTGACAATAGGATGAACACAACTGGGTGTAGCGATGGGATGAAGACAATTAGGTGAGGCAATAGTATGAACACAATTAGGTGCAGCAATGGGATGAACATAGGTGTGACAATAGGATGAACACCGTTAGTTGTAGCATTAGGATGAATACAATTAGGTGTAGCAATAGGATGAGCAAATTAGGTGTAGCAATAGGATGAGCACAATTAGGTGTAGCAATAGGATGAGCACAATTAGGTGTAGCAATAGGATGAACACAATTAGGTGTAGCAATAGGATGAGCACAATTATGTGTAGCAATAGGATGAACACAATTATGTGTAGCAATAGGATGAACACAATTAGGTGTAGCAATAGGATGAACACAATTAGGTGTAGAAATAGGATGAACACAATTAGGTGTAGCAATAGGATGAACACAATTAGGTGTAGAAATAGGATGAACACAATTAGGTGTAGCAATAGGATGAACACAATTAGGTGTAGCAATAGGATGAACACAATTAGGTGTAGCAATAGGATGAACACAATTAGGTGTAGCAATAGGATGAACACAATTAGGTGTAGCAATAGGATGAACACAATTAGGTGTAGCAATAGGATGAACACAATTAGGTGTAGCAATGGGATGAAGGAGACTATTCAGATATTCTTTTTATAAATTTAATTTTTTTACTATTAAGGGCGCGATGTAATCCATCCAAATGTTCTCATGGAGATGAACAATGGACGACTACATTTAGTGACCTCCCAATGGACGACTACATTTAGTGACCTCCCAATGGACAACTACATTGAGTGACCTCCCAATGGACGACTACATTTAGTGACCTCCCAATGGACGACTACATTTAGTGACCTCCCAATGGACGACTACATTTAGTGACCTCCCAATCGACAAATACATTAAGTGACCTACCAATCGACAACTACATTTAGTGACCTCCCAATGGACGACTACATTTAGTGACCTCCCAATAGACGACTACATTTAGTGACCTCCCAATGGACGACTACATTTAGTGACCTCCCAATGGACGACTACATTTAGTGACCTCCCAATGGACGACTACATTTAGTGACCTCCCAATGGACGACTACATTTAGTGACCTCCCAATGGACGACTACATTAAGTGACCTCCCAATCGACAACTAACATAAGTGACCTCCCAATCGACAACTACATTAAGTGACCTCCCAATCGACAACTACATTTAGTGACCTCCTAATGGACGACTACATTGGTGACCTCCCAAAAGACGACTACATTTAGTGACCTCCCAATGGACGACTACATTTAGTGACCTCCCAATGGACGACTACATTTAGTGACCTCCCAATCGACGACTACATTTAGTGACCTCCCAATCGACAACTACATTTAGTGACCTCCCAATCGACAACTACATTAAGTGACCTCCCAATCGACAACTAGATTAAGTGACCTCCCAATAGAGGACTACATTAAGTGACCTCCCAATAGACGACTACATTGAGTGACCTCCCAATCGACGACTACATTGAGTGACCTCCCAATCGACGACTACATTGAGTGACCTCCCAATCGACGACTACATTGAGTGACCTCCCAATCGACGACTACATTAAGTGACCTCCCAATCGACAACTACATTAAGTGACCTCCCAATCGACAACTGCATTAAGTGACCTCCCAATAGAGGACTACATTAAGTGACCTCCCAATAGATGACTACATTAAGTGACCTCCCAATAGATGACTACATTAAGTGACCTCCCAATATACGACCCAATTTAGCGACCTACCACTAAACGACCCAATTTAGTGACCTACCACTAAACGACCCAATTTAGTGACCTACCACTAAACGACCCAATTTAGTGACCTACCACTAAACGACCCAATTTAGTGACCTACCACTAAACGACCCAATTTAGTGACGTACCACTAAACGATCCAATTTAGTGACCTACCACTAAACGACCCAATTTAGTGACCTACCACAACACGCCCCAATTAAGTGACCTCCCTATACACGCCCCAATTAAGTGACCTCCCAATACACGCCCCAAATAAGTGACCTACTTCTGTTGGCCATGAAAATCTCGATGGCGATGTTCTGTAGCAGATAGCGCCGGGAGAAGATGGCTCGGATCTCGGAGAAGTTCCACTTGCCATGGAGAAAGTCTATGTAGGCGAGCACCTGTAGAGGAGACAGAGAGGAGGACACATATTAAACACAATGGTTAACTTTCTTGGGCCTTGCATTAGCACCGAGACAAGTTCAGCAATATGTCAGTGACCGTGCACCCACACCTGCTAGTTGCACTGCCAATGTTGAACCATTCATCAAGGTAAAAAAAAACATAGGTAAAATTATTAATTGCACTGACAAATGATACATGTTAGGATGTACAACAAAAATAACGTTTTGACATTCATCTTAGAGCAGAAATTTCTATCCCCCTCCCCACCAAAAAAATAACATGCGAGGAAATCAGTACCTGTTTTCTCATAAAAGACCAATGACCATCAACAAACTTAAGATCCAGCTGACCAAATGGCATTAAGGGTTTTAAAAGCATATATGCTTCATGATCACATTCGAGGTTCCTGTGCGGTATATGACGTCACAAAATAGATACGCTCCCCAATGCAAACCCTTCGCATCTTCAAGCGCCCCCCCCCCCTCCCCAACATCGGTTTGATTAATTGCAACGTTGCGCCCTAACAACGCGGCACCCTAACCCCGCGCCATCCTAAACAACGCTGTTATTGATAAATTAACGGCCACACGGCCTGTCATATTACGGTCCTTAGGCCTACTTAGCGCGCTAAAGCCCCCATTTGTCTCCGGTTGTGATGAATACCGTGTGTCCAGTTTGTGACGTGGCAAACTTGTCCAAATAAGACATGACAGTGGACCGTTCTTAATTAGAGAATACGGAAGCTCGAGAGCCCATGAGAGTTGACGGGCGAAGAGAGTTACAGGCCGGTTGCAAAGTACGAAGTGATGGCAGAGTTGCGAGCCCGAGATTAGACACAGTACATGTATAGAAAGATTATAAACAAATTCTAGACACACCAGAAGAATCAAAACATCGTGGTGCACCATTGTCTTAAAAAGTTTTTCTCATTTCATTACTCGTGTACTCTTCAGGCATGCATATACTCTATCCCATTGAAATCGCCGACATATATAACTAAACTATTAAATAACCCATGGATATATCCCCGGGTGGTTGCGTAGAGAAGGGACTTTGCGGTCCGCCCCTGGTTGAACTTTTTTTCTCTTTTATTTGGAGGGGCGGCATTTTTGGGGCATCTGCAAAGTTCGTTCGTGGGGCGGCGACATACTCGGTTCGCACCGGGCGGCACTAACCCTAGCTACGCCCCAAACTTCCGGAGTCCTAAATTCATCGTTTCTGTGGCAAGACTTTGTCGAGATATGGAACACTTATTTCGGCTAGCTGCTTTCATGCAAAATATCGCAAGTCGACATCAGACAAAGTACAATAATGTGTTGTTGTTTTTTAAATATAGCCACTCAAACATTAAACACACACACATTCGGGCGAATATCGGTTAAATAAAAATTCAAAACCGTCACTTCGCCCCCACCCTCTCCTCCCCAACCATTACTCCCCTGAATTCCCAGAGCCATTACTTCCACACCAAAGATTCGGCACAGCGCTCTACCCTCCGCCCCCAGGTCCAATAATCCAATAAGGCACGCATAACCCGATTGTCTTACGATCGCCATTGTGTCAATTTTTAATGGACGCGACGGGAGCCGCGAAAAATCTCGTTTTTTCTCCATTAGTCTGTTCCCTGGTCCATTCCGTTAATCAAATATTTAGGCAGCACTGGTCTTCGTGCTCTTCGGTAGGCCGTCCAACTATGGCCACGTTCTCTCCTAGCGACATCTGCCGGCGTGCGTGCGACTTGTGACATCGGCTGACCTCAACGCCCGTCTCCCCAACCACCCACTCCCGTGGGGGGGGGGGGGGGGGTTATGCTGACGCCGTCATCAATTTCGGACCCGTTCGATAATCTTAAAGATGTTAGTTCGTTGAGTTTCCGGAAGATTCAGTCAAGGGAATCAATCAAGACGATCTACGCAATGATCTATCATTCAGACTGTCCACCGTCACGTGACACGATGTAGTGACGTCTCACACAGTCAAGCTCATGACTGTTGCAAACAACAATCTATTGACAGCCCACCTCCCCCAAAACATTTTTTGTAAATGACATTCGTAACTAGCTGATTAATAATACAAGCGATCAAATCCTTTAGTTAATCGATCCAAAGAATACCAGTTGTTTGTCAACGTTAAGAAAGTTCATGTCGAGATTACTGTCCATGCAAGTGTATGTCAAGATTATTGTGCTGGGGAGTTCGTGTCTATAACATTACGGTCCAGGACAGTAAGTGTCTATAATATCACTGTCCAGGACAGTACATGTCTATACTATATTGGCCTGTGTTGCTTATGGTTGAAACGGGATGAAAGACTTTGACTTGGTATGCTCGTATGTAGTATTATATTGTTGCGTCTGTTTTTTAAATGTGGTAAATTTTAGATTGTTTTTATTTCTCTTTATAATATGGTTGACTTTGTACCGCACTTCGAGCTTTTGGGGATGAAGTGTGTTTTTCAAATAAACTTTATTATTATTATCATCACTTTCCAGGACAATAAATAGTCCATAATATCACCGTCCAGAATAGATCATATCTAGATTACCGTCCAGAATAGATCCTGTCTATAGATGACCAGCCCAACATAATAGTGCAGTGATTACTTTATGACGTCCATATCGGGACCACCGTCCCCCCCTCCCCCACACATTCACATAAATCTTTTTAAGCCTATCCCCTTTCGGGGGGGGGGGGGCAGCGGGCTTTGTGTGGCTCTATTCTTCTTTCAACTAAAAGGGCCCCCGAGGCCCCCCTAATAGATCATATCTAGATTACCGTCCAGAATAGATCCTGTCTATAGATGACCAGCCCAACATAATAGTGCAGTGATTACTTTATGACGCCCATATCGGGACCACCGTCCCCCCCTCCCCCACACATTCACATAAATCTTTTTAAGCCTATCCCCTTTCGGGGGGGGGGGGCAGCGGGCTTTGTGTGGCTCTATTCTTCTTTCAACTAAAAGGGCCCCCGAGGCCCCCCAAGCTGCGGGACTAATTGATCCCTCCGCGGGCCCAACTTCCACCTCTGGTGTCCTTGATTATACCACTAATAGTCCCCAGTGTCACGCCGCTGGACATTGATGGAATGATATGGAGACACCAGTTTTAGGGGTGCATTTCGGACAAAGGTTAAAATCACGTTAAACGCCTGTGACAACCACACGCCATGCACTCCCTTCACAGAACAGACTACATCACAACTGAAGGGAGAATACGGTGTGGATAAGAGAGAATACGGTATAGATAAGGGAGAATGCGGTGTAGATGAGAGGTAATACGGTATAGATAATGGAGAATACGGTATAGATTATGGAGAATACGGTGTAGATAAGGGAGAATACGATATAGATAAGGGAGAATACGGTATAGATGAGAGGTAATACGGTATAGATAAGGGATAACACGGGTATATATAAGAGAGAATACGCGAATAGATGAGAGACAAAATGGTATAGATAAGGGAGAATACGGGTATAGATAAGGGAGAATACGGTATAGATGAGAGATAATATGGTATAGATAAGGGAGAATAAGGGTATAGATAAGGGAAAATACGGTATAGATAAGGGAGAATACGGTATAGATAAGGGAGAATACGGGTATAGATAAGCGAGATTCGAGTGTTTGTAACCGCATCGTACACTAGAGCTGTTTGAGACCGGAAAGTAAAGCGTTCACATATAACATGGGAACGGTATACGAAATCAAATGTCCCAACCCAACTCGACAAATGAGCGAAAGTTTCACGAGCCGGTCAACAATGGAGACGCGCGCAGACAATGGTGAGTAATCCAAGCGGTGACAATGAGGTGTCTACAGCTCACTGTCTTCCCTCCCGTGTCCTGCATATCACGTCTTTTCATCGCCACTTTCAATGGATTAAGACGGGGGGAAAGATAGTCATCGAAACCTGTCCAATGCAGGCCAGGCCGTGGAACTTGCCGGGGGCGACAGCCCTGTGCCATGACGGGCAGACGACAGGGGCGAGAAATGATGACTACATTAGGCCGGGCTGAAACGGGACACCTTGAAATTAGCTCTCCCCCAGAAAATGGCAAGTCACCTTCCGCTGTGGCCAGGAAATGGAGGAAAAGATGGTTATCACGGGGGTAAAGATTGGTCTCCTTGGCTGGTGAGCTTTTGTGGCCATTGAGGGACCGGTGGTGCTGCTGCTTAGAATTTGGGTATCACTCCACTACATTATATTATTTTAAATATTCTATAATACATCCCCATTTAGTAAATAACAACAATTTAAAAAAAAAAAGAAAAAATCTACAGCATAGGGGGAAAAAAAGCTCTTGTATTTTTTCATTATTACCTCGACAGCGAGCTTCTGATTGACTTCTTAATCAAAATTGAGCATCGCAAACATCTCTCCAACTTATGTTTACTTTACAACTTGCAAACATAATCTTCTAATACATTTTATTTAAAAAAAAAAGCCTAGAATAAATCCACTTGCTTTAAGCAAATTTGCCTCATAGGTGTTAAATAATACTTGAATAAACTCATGATAGCCCTCCCTCAACCCAAATCCTTGTATGAGAGTATATTATAGGCCAGTGATCTAGCTGCTATACAAACTCAGATATGAGAACATTATAACCAAAGACAAGCTACACTCTTAGGTATATAGAGTAGTTGTATTAAAATGTACTCAGTCCATTACACCGATACCTCAATTGGTATAAATTATAAAGCTAAGGCCTCCTAGATTTGATACAAGACCACGAAACCAAAAGCTACAGGCTCCGTTTGAAAGAAAGCGATGAGGCTATTGATTATTTCAACAGTCTTTCTGTACACATGCCGTGTATATGTGTGTACACATGCCATGTATATTTGTGTACACATGCCGTGTATGTGTGTACACATGCCGTGTATATGTGTGTACACATGTCGTGTATATATGTGTACACATGCCGTGTATATGTGTGTACACATGCCGTGTATATGTGTGTACACATGCCGTGTATATGTGTACACATGCCGTGT